ATTGTTTCCACAGCATCTTAGATATTCAATGGTATTGAACTATTAATAATAAAAAATAGATAAGGTAGGCATCATAAACTTCAATAGTTCAATAACCTTGATACCTGATATGTAATAGTGCACAGTGGCCTTAGCCAGTGTATTTAGATCAGAATGCAACAAAAATTACGTAGTAGTCAGAGGAAACTGCAGAATAGCTTTTTGGCAGGTAGATCATCACTCCCTTTAGGGTCTGCCTTGGAGGTCAGGAGTGCTGCTGATACATCTACAAGTTTTTACAGACAAGAACATTTTTTTGCTGGTTAGAAGATGCAAATGAAGAAGTAAACGTTGTTCTAATCCATCCTAATTTTGATGACAATRCCCTAATCTGTAAAACAAACTAAAATGTGGATTGTCCCCCCTCTAATACTTAGTTATCATTCAAAACTGATTTTTGCTTGGAACTCAGATCAGTTTAGAACTCAGTTCAGTTTAAATGAAAAAATCCTGAAATAGAAGGTATAGTATTTCTATTGAGTTCGTAAGACATGCATTGACTTGAGGCAATGCGCATTTTTTGGGAGTGCCAGTGAAATGCAAAATCAATCAGTTGTTCACATGGCTGAGAGCAACATGTTCAGGGTTTTACGACCAGATTGTACCTGATGTTAGCAGTGCATCTCACCCTTGCCTGACATTTTTAAACATCAGTATTACAGAAGACACACTTAGAGCCTTGCTGTCAATCAGAAGAGTTGCAATTAATGCCTGCAGTTCAAGCTTTTAGCTGGGTCACTTTCCAGCTAGCACAGTCCTGAAGTGGGAGTCCTCCCACGTGGAGCTTGAGGACCTGAGGAGAGGATTTCCTGCTTTTCCTGACAACTTCACCCATTTTCTATTTGTGATTGAATCCTGAGCCACGGGCATGGCTTTATAAATCCAGAAACCTTTGATACAGGAGTCTTTGCAGTTGAGGGAAAGATCTTTGTGAGGCTTAGCAGTAGTTGGTTGGGATGGATGCTTTGMCTTCATCCATCTTCTCTAATTGTGAGCAGCAGTTGTGACAGGAGACTTCTTTAAAATTATTTTTTGTGTTTTGCATTACAGTGCTAGTGACAAGGGAAATGCAGATTTTTTTGGACATAATAAATTGATAAAGGGTCTGTTAATCAGATAAAAGGGCACGTTTTCATTGTTCACCAACCTGGARAGGGTAAAATCTGGGAGGTTTATTAATAGTGTGGGGCAGAGGCAGGAGAAAAGGATTTCCCTGGGAGCGAAGGTTCATGAAGGGGCTGTATAACGTGGGGAGGATCCAGAGAGAAGCCTTATGACTTCTGTCAGATGAAGACCTGGGGCTCCTGCCCTGCTCAAGTCCTGGGCCAAGCAAATGTACTTCAGGAGTCTTCTCACATGTAGAAAAGACAAGTAACACATCTTATGGAAAGAGGCAAGATGCAATGCCAAGCTCATAATACAAAATGATAATATAAAATCTTGATGCAAAAGATGTAATTCTGGTCGTGTGGATTGTATGGCATCACCTGAGGAAAAATATTTCATGGGCAAGATAACTAAAGTTATCACCTGGTCAGTGATACCCAGGCCAGGTGCTTTGGGCTGCAATTTGTTCCTGTTCTCATCTGCCACRCTGTGTCTACACTACACCTCTGTGTCTCAGCACAGCTTTGAGTCTGCATGGGGYGAAAAATAAACAGTTTTGCACTTCAGTCAAAACCCTATGAGGTTAGTGACAGTCCTTCCGTCCCAAGACATTTAACTCCCTGGTCTCACATTGTTCCTCAAGAAATTCTAGTCTTTTGCTGAAATTAACTTTATCCTGGTGAGAGATAAATTATTTAGAAGGGCAACAAAGGTGGTGAAKGGTCTAGAAAGTAAATTATATGAGTGACTGAGGGAGCACGGAGAAGAGGAGGCTCAGGGGAGACCTTACTGCTCTCTACAACTGCCTGAAAGGAGGCTGTACCAAGGGTTGCCTCTTCTCTTGGGCAACCACCAAGGAGAAGAAGAAATGGCCTCAGACTGCACCTGAAAAGGCTCAGGTTGGACAGGAGGAAGAATTCCTTCAAGGCAAGAGGGATGAGCCTGATATGTATAGGCCTCTCAGTCTCACTCCAGTGCCTGGTTTAATTATGGACAAGATTGTTCTGGGAGTTATTGAAAAACAGCTGAAAGGCAATGCAACCCCATGGAAACAGACCAGTGGGTCCTGGTCCATGGCAAGTTGAAAATGAACCAGCAGTGCCCCGGCAGCCAGGAGGGACACCCATGTCCTGGGGGCATCAGGCACAGCATCCAAGGGAGGGGATTGTCCTGCCCTGCTCTGCACTAGGGCAGCCTCAGCTCAGTGCTGGGGGCAGCTTTGGGTGCCACAAATAGCAGAGAGATATAAAGCCATTGGGGAGTGTCAAAGGAGGGACAGGAGGATGGTGAAGGGCCTTGAGGGGAAGCCGTGTGAGGAGCAGCTGAGATCACTTGGACTGTTCAGTCTGTCTGAGACTGAGGGGAGGTCTCATCATGGTCTACAGCTTCCTTGGGAGGAGAGGAGAGGCAGGCACTGATCTCTTCTCTGTGGTGACCAGTGACAGGATCTGAGGGAACARTGTGAAGAAGAGGGACGTTTAGGTTGAATATCAGGAAAAGGGTCTTCACCAAGAGAGTGGCTGGGCACTGGAAGAAACTCCCCAGGGAAGGGGTCAAAGCACCAGCCTGGCAGAGCTCAATACTCTGAGTTGGACTCACTCTCAGGCACATGATGTGACTCTTGGGGTATCCTGTGCTGGGCGGGAGTCATACTTTGATGACTCTTGTGGGTCACTTCCAGCTCAGGACATTCTAAGATTCCATGGCTTTGTTTGGTTTCATAGCAACAGACTGTTTAGCACTGGGCARAGCTGGCCAGGGCTGACACAGATAGAGGGGTTTCGGAGACATTGGGAATGTGTTGTTTCCCCAACTCTTTTTCCATTGTCCAAACTCTTTGAAGGAGAGAGCAAGAGAAGATTTCACTCCTTGAATTAGGCTGAACAGGCAATCCCTGTTCAGCCAGGTAGGAAGTGATGTACTGGATAGTCAGGGAGACATTGGGTGAAGGCATGGGGTGGGCTGCACAGAAAGGTGACTTTCCTCCAGGAACACAGATAAAGGAAGGGAGTAGGTAAAGGGGAAGCCCAGATTAGACATTGGGCTGGAATTAGTCTGGAGAAGAGATGAAGGAATGCACCTGCTTGCTATGGAGGAACGTGGGTTTTTTGGCTTCCCAGGGATATGAATGCCTTCCTTCATTTTGAGGATGATGACACACTGGCACAGGCTGCCCAGTAAAGTTGTGGATTCCCCATCCCTGGAGGTGTTCAAGGCCTGGTGGAAGGTTCTCTGCTCATGGCACGGGGTTTGGAACGAGATAATCTTTAAGGTCCCTCCCAACTCAAACAATTCTATGATTCTATGAGACAGATCTGTTTTTTATCTTTCTTTGTTAGCATACCTGGAGACTGTTTCTAAAACTTGCMGGGAGTTGCTGACCTTTGGTTTCTGCAAAATAGATATATGTTGGCTTACCCTGATCTGTACCTGCCACGCCCCAGGTGAAAYAAGGAGATGACATTTCCTTCTTTTTTTTGCCCCAAAAGAGAAATATTGAGGACAAAGATGCACAGGGAAAGGCAAAGTCAGGCAGAACAGACAAATGATAAAGCTCTGCCTTGAMAAGCTGCAATTTAAATGTAGCTACAGCTTGCAAGACCTGACATTTAAGAGAATGCTAGAGATGCCCAAGTTAGTCTTGCAATAYATTTGAATGCACATCTCAGTGCTTGATTTTACATTCATATGAGTGGTGTGCAGGCATAGGAGCCAATTCTGCTGGCGCCACCCTTTTACTGACTCTGGAAACATGCTGAAGAGCTTCTATTCAAAAGAAAATACTGGGAACTGCATACCTTAAAGGCAAAGTAGAGCTTAGTTTAAGCTAAGTAGAGCTATGTTTTCTGCTGCACTTGTATGTGGTTATGGTCTAATATTAATTCAGGGATCTTAATGATGCTGCTTACAGACATCCAGTGAAGCAAAGCTGTATGGAGAGGATCCCTGTGTTTAGTTTTTATTGTGGTAATGCCTCAGTTGTTAATATGCTACACAGGAATGTTATTAAATAACATGCTGTGTAAAAAGGGGCCATGTGTGTTTTTGTGGTCACATCCAAGGTTCACATGTGTCACATGGCAGAGAGCAGGATAGATGCGCTATTGCTCACTACTACCCCTCCTRCCTTCAGAATGTTGCATTTGTTTTATGTTCATACCAGTGGATGAAAGCACTAGGTCTTTATTCCCTCTGTCTTCTGGGCAAATAAGAAGTATTTTCCTGAAGAAATCTGAAGAGAGGAGGGACTTTGGGCTTGTCAGATCCTGTTGGCACAGGACAGGAAGAAATTAATTTCCTCTTGGACATGTTTATGAGCCAACTCCATTGTTAGAAATAATGAGGATGCAGTGTTTGAATTCYAAAGCTTTCAGTTTCATACTTTTATTTTTTAAATACGAATATCTACCATTAAGTGCCCATTCTTTCCAGACTCACTAGTGATCTCTGTGCTGYTCCCATTGAATCCCTTGTAGTTACTCAGGAAAGTAATCAATCCTTCCCACTCACATGGATAACAGTAATGTTTTTGCCAATCCAGGGGTTGCTGTACTTCACTTTGTGTCTCATTCGAAATTTAAAAAAGGTTTGAAAAAAAATAGTGTGAGTCTTGTTCCAGTACTCTTATTTGGCTGAAAGTCATCTGGTTTATTGCCTTCACTCAGCTAATTTAGGGGGAATGAAGTTTTAAAAGGATGATTAAGTGGTAACTAGAGCTTACCAGTGCCCTATTCTGGTAAGGTGGTATTTATACTGTAGGCAGACTGGTGTGTGCATATCTTTTTAGGAGCTGGAGTTGTCTCTGATGATTTCTTTATGATTTAAGGTAACATGGTGTCTCTTCTTTTTTGCAGAATGAAGAGACGCAAGTGGCCCTACAAATGTCCTTCACGAAGGAAAATCCTGATCCTGTGTTTTACTGGGTGGCTGATTGCACTGTTGAAGCTCCTCCACGTTGAAAGACACTTTTTTCCTTCTAAAGGCATTTACTTAGTTGAGCACTTCTTGAGCACTTCTTCYTATGTTAGAAACAGGTATTCATACCCTAGAGATGAGTTACAGTATGAAATTAATTGTTCATTTATATAYGAACAAGATCCTCGTGAAATTGGCAAGAGTTTGGAGATAAGAAGAAAAGAAATWATTGATTTAGCTGATGAAGATGTTGTAGCAATGACAAGCGACTGTCATGTCTATCGTTCACTTAGGAAATACCACCTCAAACCAGTTTCTCCAGAGGAGGAGAATTTTCCAATCGCCTATTCTTTGGTTGTTCACAAAGATGCAGCAATGGTAGAAAGGCTCATACACTCGTTGTACAGTCGTCAGAATATTTACTGCATCCATTATGACCAAAAAGCAGCAAAAAGTTTCAAATCTGCTTTGAACAATCTAGCTAAATGTTTCCCAAATATTTTCATTGCATCAAAATTGGAGACAGTAGACTATGCGCATATTTCACGTCTGCAAGCAGATTTCAATTGTTTGTCTGATTTGGTGGACTCTCCAGTTGCCTGGAAGTATGTTATCAATTTGTGTGGGCAAGATTTCCCTTTGAAATCAAATTTTGAGTTGGTCGCTGAACTGAAGAAACTCGGTGGAGGAAACATGCTGGAAACTTCAAAGCCAAGCAGTAGCAAAAGAGAAAGATTTACTTATCACTATGAACTTATGAAAGTGCCTTATGAATACATGCAGATGCCTGTAAAAACCAATATTTCCAAGAATCCACCACCCCATAATATTGAGATATTTGTAGGCAGTGCCTATTTTGTTTTAAGCCGGGAATTTATTCAATATACCCTTGAAAGCACACTTGCGAAAGACTTTTTTGAGTGGTCAAGGGACACGTACTCTCCAGATGAGCATTTCTGGGCCTCTCTTGTACGTGTTCCCGGGGTCCCTGGGGAAGTTCCAAGGTCCTCCCAGGATGTAACAGACTTGCAAAGCAAAACTCGCCTGGTGAAATGGAATTATCTTGAAGACTATTTGTATCCTCCGTGCACTGGTACCCACCTTCGCAGTGTCTGCATCTACGGGGCTGGAGAATTAAGGTGGCTTCTGAATTACGGGCACTGGTTYGCCAACAAGATTGACTCCAAAGTAGACCCTGTCCTGGTAAAATGCTTGGCAGAAAAGGTGGCAGAACAACAGAAGGAGTGGGTACATTTGTCGTCTGATGAACACTTCCTGCACTTAAGTTCTACGAAGGCCTCGATGTAGCAGTGCTGTGTTCTCTGCCGGCAGTGCCATGTGCTGCTGTAGCACAGCGCCTGCAGTTCTGCTGCCTTGACCTGCTGCAGGATGGCAGTGAGAAAAATATCCATTCTGTGTGATGTCCAGGGCCCAGCAGAGCCAGGTGCCTGGCTATTTATTTATGAAAAGTCATGCGTCTCTGATTAACTGTTTTGTAACTTGCCACAATAAACCTGTAATTGTCCTTAGGGTGATTCTGAGACGGTGAAGTTTGCTTTTGGAGGCTCTTGCATTGTCTGTCCCAATGGAGTGTTTCAGAAATGTATTTTACTTCAAGTGTATTTGTATCTTTCATAAGAAACTCCAAYACTTCTGTCTACCTGTTCTCTTTTCCTTCACTTTTGCTTTTGTTTAATGAATAAAGCAAAGACYTCTGCTACCTCAGGGAAACTGCAAGTGCCCATCTCACAGACAAAACCAAGAGATCAGCGTGATGCCAAATGAGCCGTGTGACCTCACCTGAAGATCCACACTTCTCATCTCTGGGACTGACACAGATCTTTACAATGTCAGTATGACTGGATCATATAAGGGAAAGAAGATCCCTATATACTGCATGGTCTCTACTACTGTTCTCTTCACCCAACTAACCTGTGCGTTGGTTTTTCTTCTACAAAGCATGTGCTCAGGTGCTGTGCCAACAGTGTTGGTTTCACGAACAATGAAAGTTGATCGAAACAGTTGTGCATTTATGTGCACACAGTTGTGTATTCTCCAAAGGCAGAATACATGCGTGCCCTAAGGAGAGTCTCTGCAACCTCTTGGGGGCAGGTATCTGTGCCAAAAGAGGTAATTTTTCATTTRTATCTCTGCCTGTAAGAAAATTCTTGTGTGAAATCCCAGCCCTCTTGAGATAATATGTCTACGCATAGCAGTGGATAACACTATTTCTAGTTAGTGTTGAGCAGTGTGGTGTTTTGTCGAAGTGCAGGACACCCCAAGTTGAACAGTAAGCATAAGAATAGCCATATTGCAGAAATGAAGACCCRCATGAAGTGTCTTTCTGTGCAAGTCCCGTGGCTTTGTACTGCCATGATCCCAGGCTGGCAGGTGCCTGAATAGACCCTGGTTCAGCTGCAGAGCAAGAGTCCTTCAGCAGCCCCTGCTTGCCAAGGCTCTGCCAGACCTCCCGGTACCACAGTGGCTCAGGAGCCTCCTCGCAGCTGGGCTTCCCATGCTGCAGTACGAGGGAGGTGTTTGCTAGTGCGGGGGGCTGCAGAAACTCCTGCAACTCAGAAATGCCACTTGGCATTTTGGGGGTTTCCCTGGAGTGTTGCTCTGCCACAAGTTCAGTTTTGGTGGTTCTGGTGAGCCCTGGGATTTAGCTTTCTCCATGCCACTGTCTTCTTTCTAGCCATCTGTCTTTTATTAAGGGGCCTTTCCCCATGAGTGACTTTGGGATATCTGTATCTGGCCTTACTGATCTACAGATTGTGGCAGTAATGACCCTGTCTCATATCGATGAGAAATCTTTGTTCCTTATTTGAGCTGAAAGAATCAAGTTGCATTTTGGTCTCAGTTTCAGTTTATAGATTTAATCACGGTGAAGTCGTCTGTGGCTTAAGACTGGTTTGAGAATCAGGAGTCTCAGGTCTTTTTCCACATTTGTGACACTGGTTTTCAATAAGACCTCAGACAAGCCACCTGAGTTTTCTATTTCAGCTGTTCCCRTTGTAAAATGGGAACCATAATCTTCTATTGTCTTGCTAAGCACTTTGAAACCTGTGGGTGTTGTGGGTTGGTTGCACAAAAATAATTATGTATCCAGCTATTTATGGAGTCCGTGGCTGCACAGGTCAGGTATTTCTTTAATGTACTGTTTCTGAAATAAATGGGGATTATTTTTTAAGCCTGTGTCGCTTACTTCAGTGACATGCCATGTCTGCCTAGGGCAGTTCTGACTTGATGCAATTTATAAATACTTTGTAGAAAATGAAATATTGATRGTATTTACAGATTCACACATTAGTACTTGCATATAAAATAGAGTCCCCATGTAGTAAAAAGGTTAATAAAAGAGAATGTTAGGATCCCAAAGGGCCAAGCTACAGCCTTCTGTACATGTAAATTGATGCTTAATGATATGTTTGAAATTTTGTATTTATTTAAACTGGCTTTATGTATGTATGTACACACATACTCATTTGTGTTTAATTGGAATTTGATCGGCCATAAATTTGTAAAAATAATCCACCAGCACATTAAACTTCACTGAAGTATGTAATTTTAATCAACATGCAACTTTGTGATATTTTAATTTAATTGGGTTGAACGATGCCTGTCATTTAACTAGTTAGAAGTATGGCAGCTCGTCCTTCCGAGGTGGTGGGGAAGTGGAAGTGGAAGTGGATGTGGATGTGGAAGTGGATGTGGATGTGGAAGTGGATGTGGATGTGGATGTGGCACAGTGTGAAGCAGCATCACCCATTACAGCAGTGTGTTTGCTAGATGGGGAAGTGCAACTCTATGAAGTGCTGATGTTCTAATGAATTCCAAATATTTCTGCTTTTCTGAAAGTAACTTTAAAGGCTACTGAAGGTTGTGGAAAGGCAGTTCACAAAGCTCAGTCATAGGGCTGGTGAGGGTGGAAGATGATCTAGTCCTGCTCACARCATGATAAACACTGAATTTCAGCTCGGTTTTTGGAGTTTTCCAGGGACTCTTGCAGATCACTAAGGAAGGAGGAACATTTTTCATTGTTTGCAAACAAAAGAACAGTCAAAATATAAGTGTCTTACTTTTGAATAGTTATGTCTCTGTTTTTTGGCTTTGCATTCAGTGTTGTTGCCATCCTGATGCCTGTATTACAGTCAGCTCATTGTACTGCAGGGGTGGGTAACACCTTCATCATCATTGCTTTTCATATAGGAAGATCTGCCACTGCTGAAAATGGACCCAAGGCATGATCCACAAACTTTCTGTGAGGAAAGTGGCTGAACTGAGTTTATGGCAAAACAAATAAGTTTTATTTGGGCCAAAACTTAGGTTATAGGCACTTACCTGCTCTCACATGGCTTGTTGGGTTTTTTTTGGTGGTTTATTTTTTTATTGGTTTGGTTTTGGTTGTCCTTAGCAAAGCTTGGACATCCCTTTTCTCTTCATTCCTTTCTTCRCTTCTGAGAGATTCCTCTTGTAAATTATTTCACAAGTTTGAAGTGCACGTACATTTACACACATTAGAGGTTTCTTCAGTATTTGTTSTGCTGAAGAAGTGCCATGCTGGCCTTCTTCCACCCACCCTGCCCTGTGCTGGTCACATGGAGAATCTGGACTATCAGTTGACCTAATTTTCCCATTCAGGAAGGATGCATGGACAGGGCAATGGTACTGCTCCTGGCTGTCAGCACTGATGTACAGGTCCAGTCCACCATTTTATTAGTGGTTGAAAACAGCAAAAATGMTGAATGCATTCTAACATGGACAAGTTAAGTAAGGAAGAAAAGGAAACAATGACCTTTAGTGAGAGAGATGCAGAGCCAACATTTGTACTAYTTGTCTCGTTAATGAATTTATTAGGCTAGACATGGAGTCCAGAGCATAGTATATGCAAACATAAATGCCTCACTATGTATTTTCTTTGGCATGGGAATAAAAGGATGTGAAAGGAAAGACTAGGAATTAGACATCTAATCTGTAATTGTAATTAAAACAGACTCGGCCTGTTGACTATTTCTGTGACTGCAATGTCATTACTGTGGCATTTAAATCAAAATGTATCAACATAAGAAAACAATATTTGGGCAGCAAATGGGGAGTATATGTGGCACTCTAATGTATGTTTACAGTGTGACCTTGAGTTTTATTTCATGTATAATAYCTGTTTTAACTTGTAGTTTTTATAGAACTTGGGTTGTTCTTGGTGGTCCTAATTTCCACTCATAAAAATGGTACTTCGGAACAATGTGATTTGTTACTAAGATGCAGTAAATCTGTACTGAAACTACCTCAGTGTCATTTAGTATTTCAAGCTGATGGTTAAACACTCTATCCTGGTCCTGTTTCTTCAGGGCTACAAAAATCCTTTGTTTTCTGTGGCTAAGGGATATATAAACTTTATAGTACCAATCTCTTTTAGAAAAGGGGAAAAGCAAAAACCATGAAACTTTGTATGAGGCATTTTCTCAAGTGAGACAGTCTGTTGCTCTTGTATGGCAAGTTTTTGGTAGCAGGTGGAGCAGGAGGGTGGATTCTGTGAGAAAATGCCAGGAACTTCCCCCTGTGTCCGACAGAGCCCATGCCAGCCAGCTCCAAGATGGACTCGCTGCTGGACAAGGTTGAGCCCCCCAGTGATGGTGGTCACACCTCTGGGGTAACATATTAGCAAAGGGAAGAACCCTTACTGTGCAACAGCAGCTACAGACAGAGAACAAAGGACTGAGACTGTGAGAAACAGCTCAGTAGGCACCAGGACAGCAAAGAAGGAGAGGCAGGAGGTGCTCCATGTGCTGGAGCTGAGATTCCCCCRCAGCCCCTGGTGCAGACCATGGTGAAGCATTTGTGTCCCTGTAGCCCATGGAGGGTCCATGGTGGAGCAAAGATCCACCTGCAACCCATTGAGAAGCCCACAYGGGAGGAGGTGGATGGCCAAAGGATGCTGCAAACCCATGAGAAGCCCAAATTGGAGCAGGGTGCTGGCAGGACCTGTGGCCCTGTGGAGAGAAACTCACACTGGAGCACATTTGCTGGCAGGACTGGGGGTTCCACGCTGGAGCAGGCTGTGCCTGAAGGATGGCACCTCAACAAGGCAGGCAGGCTGGAACAGTTTGCAAAGAATGCAGCATGTGGGAAGGACTCACACTGGACAAGCTCAGGAAGGACTGCCTCCTGTGGAAGGRACCCCATGCTGGAGTGGGGGAAGAGYGCGAGGAGTGCTCCCTGTGACGCGCAAGGAGAGGCCGGGACAACCTGAGATGGACTGACCACAAACACCTTTCCCCATTCCCCTGTGCTGCTGGAGGGGAAGAGGTAAAGAAAATCAGGAATAAAGTTGAGCCCAGCAAGAAAGGAGGGGTGAGGGAAGATGGGTTTCTTAAAGATTGTTTTTATTTTCTCATTTCCCTAGTCCAGACTGGTGAGAAATTAATTTTCCCCAAGTCGAGTCTGTTGTGTCTATGACAGTAATGGATGAGTGATCTCTCCCTGTCCTTATCTCAACCCAGAAGCTTTCCATTATATTTTTTGCCCCCGTTCAGCTGCAGAGGGGTGTGACAGAATGGCTTTAGTGGGCAGCTGGCATCCAGCCAGGGTCAACCAAACACAAATGGAAGGAGTTAGATGGTATTTTGTTAAAGGGGACAAAACCAGTAGGTTTTGCTGCTACTGAGCCTCCACTTACGTGTCTTAGCAGAGACTTGCTTAAGTGGAAATACTTACATATAGCATGGTTGCTGCTGCCATCTCTGATCAAGGTAAGCAAGACTTGAGCTAGTACATTTTAAAAACAACGATAATTTATCAAAGAAGTGCCTAGAGCCTCTATCAGTTTCTTGTCGTGTGGAAAAATAGGTGCTTAAAAATTTACTAGAATTTGTCTAGGGGTTAGAGAAAGACTCAGGAGACTGTGCTGGCTGTATCAGAGAAGGCAGAAAAAGGAGCTTCTGATTTTTTGCTCATGACAGGTCAAAGGCTTTTAATGGTGCATTCTGTATTATGTGTAGAATTTTTAACATGAACTAATTTGAGAATCTAGTGATTGACTTCTACCTTGCATCTCCAGTGTTTGCTTCTAACACATAAGAGTTTATTTAAAAGACTCTTCCCTGGGCTACAATTAGAGACTTCATTGTGATTTAAATTAAAGGCAACAGCTTTTCTATTGCTGAGCCTCTTTTCTCTGCCTGAATTTGTGCTCTGAGATGGAAAGGATGGCAGGTCTAAGCTTCACCTGGGGCAATGAGAAGATTAGAGAGGATACAGAGAATGCTGCAGGTGGCATTATTACCACCATCCCAGCTGTTAYGCTGTTAATGTTGTTGTAGCATAACAGCTGGAAAATAAGAATAACTGCATCTTATACTGTAGAGGTTCAAATCACCATTTATTAATAAATGTGACAGGAATTGGAAATTACACCCGGAAATCACTACACACAAATATTTCAGCACTAAGTTGCTAGGTACCATAGAAAGTAGGATGAAAACACAGGTGGTGGTATATACATTTTAGCAGAAAGCAGAGATGCTCTTGCTACAGAGGTTTGAAACAGCAGAATTGAAGGCAGCAATTTACTTTCTTCAAGCAATATTATGCTTGGTTTTTTTCCCTCTACAGTTGTTTCTTATCTTTTAATGCAGCAGTCCCAGCCTCTTTATGGCTGTAAGATGCCCATATCAATTAAATTTTGTTMCTTACTCCTCATTTACTCTAAGCTGATTTAGAGTCCAAAACTTGCTTTCTGTCTGTGAAGCAGTTCTAAGGAGTCCTAGTGCAYTCTGTGTGTGCCATGGCTGGATTTCCATTTAATTGACTTTAGTGGAGCATGTATATATGCTCAGCTATTTTGGGTCTGCACTTTTATAAGCTTGCATTGCTGGGAGATTAACAATATTTTACTCCATTTTGGAGGGAAAATTATCAAAAATATCCTTTTTCCTATGCCAAACTGAGATTCTTCCTTTTGTCTTGAATTCTGTATGGTACAGGAGATGTATAGATTTATAGATGTCGATATGGATATATAGATAGATTTAGATACATAAGGCTATGCCAAGAAGATGTATCCAAAAYTGTAAAATCATGTCCATCACCAAAAAAAAAAAAAAAAGTTGGTTTGAAAAAGTAATTTTAAGTAACTGAAAAAACAGATGATGCTGTGACTTGAATAGGGATARCATACATGCAGCTGTTATTGCCAGAATTTGGAGTCACTTCTCTGACTTTTGTATTGCTAACAATATTCTTTAAAATACATTCTTAGTTCCAAGGTATTGCTCAGCTGGGATGTGGATATATACAACTGGTAAAGCTTCATCCCTCTTCTTTGCAGAACAGAGTTGTACCCTGGGAAACCATGAGCAGGCTTTGGTGGTTTATTTCTATCCTAAGCCTCAGATCCCATAATTCTGTAAGGTAGAGCAGAACCAGAAAAGCTTGTGTCTGTTGGCATGTGAGTTACTGGACAAGGCAGCCCCTTGAAGATGTAGCTGCCTCCACAAGCCAAGCAGGAGCAGCAATCAGCCCACCCAGCCAGCAGAGCAAGCGTTGTCTCTGTTTCATTTCATTAGAGCACAT